TGATGTGTTGCACTCACTGACAATCTAGCAAATTTTTCCAACTGTGCACAGAAATGATTGTATATAAGTGAAAAGGCTATTTTATACTACTGGGATTTACATTTATCAAGTGTATGTATAATCTCCAGCGAATATGTAAAGCATATCTTGCTACTGCCTGTAAATTGGGATTAAATTATATGGTTCTATTTCTGTAACAATTTGGTGATGCCTGTAAACTGGCGCCCCCCATGTACTGTACTATGAGAATAAATTTATTTATTTATCAATTCTAGAGTGAATTATCATGTATACGAATTAAGTATTGCCTCTGAAATCCTAATATTAAAAAAGATCATATAAAATAAATTTGGATGTTTTGACGAATATAGCTGCATTACGAGCTCGATTATCCGCCAGTTGTCAGCACAATTGTAAAACGCAAAATGGCGTTTGAGGACATGGTTAGCCGTACATATAATAGAGAAGTGTTAAAACATTGGAAGATACAATATAGACTCCTGCAAAATCCTCATATCCGAATGTAGATGGAACTGGGAATTACTCCTTGTAGTTAATGATGTAAGGTTGCAACAATTTAGAACTTGACCTGACAATTCAAGGCCATGCACTTCAACGACTGGAATCTGTACTGGACCTAGGGCTGAAATATTCACATAACTTATCATTTTCTGAACACATCTCCAAACAAGTGTCAAAGTCACGCAGACTTATCGGCTTTCTACTCAGGAACTTCTACAGAAATGAGTCTAGAATTCTGTTGTACAAGGTTTGTGTGCGTCCTTTATTCGATTACTGTTCATTCATGTATAGTAGCATACGCATAGAGGACAAATTGAAAGTCGAGGGAGTGCAGAGGTACTTCACGTTAAAATTACTCGGAACCGGAAATGGTACGAACTACTCCACTAGATGTGATACCCTAGGACTAGAAACACTATGGCTAAGACGCCTGAGACTAAACTTGACACTTTACTATAAGCTTCTAAACCACTTAGTTTTTACCTCTACTAATGGCACTCGACTTTCAGATGACAATGGCTACAAACTAAGACACACTAAGGGTACAGTAGCTATCGAACAATGTAAAACAGCCACCAGGCAAAAGTTTTACTTGATTAGGTATGCACAGATATGGAATAAACTGCCAATGGAAATGCGTCAAGCAAGTACATTGGCCTCCTTCAAAAAGGTGCTTAATGACAAACTACAAGAGTTTGCAAACGATATTAGTTCTAGTTCCTATCTGAGAGCCTCCGAAATTATAGTTCCATTTAATGTATAAGCTTAAATACTACACCTGTTGTTTTTTGCCTATATTTATAATTCTAGATAAAACATTAACGGTTAACATACGTATCCTCAAACAGACAAGAAATCTCGTTTGTAAAATTACTACCCAACACAATAAGTGGAATAAAATGGACATAAACCGACAACATGAAAAAGGTATAACTCACCACAACATCACAAGGACAGATGAACGCTGGTTGGGCACCATATATCCGTCACCAACTGCAACCCACCTTTCCTTAGATAATGTGATGAACTTATACCCATAATGTTGCTGAGCGGTTAATATTCTCAACTCCTGTCGGAACAGCTGAAATACATAAACCTTCCTCACGCTAAGAAAATACCCGTAATCAGTAGAAATCCATTAATTAATGCGTCCGAAGCTTATGTACTTACTCCCAACAATGAGATTGCAGATCAAATGAGATAAACACATCACTGATTTCAAAATAACACATCAATGAACTATAATTCGAGGACTCTGCACACAACAAAGTTATGTATGAATATTTACTTCAAGCTTTATTTTTTTCCCAGGCACTTATAATCCATCCACCAAAGACCTGGTTTTTTTGTTAATGCGAAGACAATACTCCTGTATTTCCTGTTGTGCTGCACTCACTGACAATCTAGCAGATTTTTCCAACTTTGCACAGAAATGATTGTATATAAGTGAAAAGGCTGTTTTATACTACTGGAATTAACATTTATCAAGTGTATGTATAATCTCCATCGAACATGTAAGGCATATCTTGCTACTGCCTGTAAATTGGGATTAAATTATATGGTTCTATTTCTGTAACAATTTGATGATGCCTGTAAACTGGCGTCCCTCATGTACTGTACTATGAGAATAAATTTATTTATTTATTTATTTAAGAACCTATTCCAAACTGTCTTCCTTTGCAACCGTCTCCAGCAGTGTACTGGAAGATGCCTTTCTCGTTACTCTTTTATTCATGGTATATATCAGGGAACTACTCAGGCTCACCAAATCTTCCACAACCCTGCACGTCAGTGGCCTAAAACTCCGGTGAGAGCGGAGGGAGAACACAGACATACTTACACTGAATAAACATCTCAACAACCTATCAAGATTGTTTATAATAATAATTTATATTTTCATATAAGCATAAATTTACATGAAAATGCATACCATGTTTACAGGCACGATCAAGTATGATATAATGTCAAATAGTAGATTGTCTACAAGTTAATGTTTGAACAGCTAAATATTTGATATATATATATATAAATACACTCTTTGTCTGACCCATGTCGTATCATTATTGAATTAAACAGCAGTCCTCCAGGTTGCGCAGGAAAATCGACTTCGTTTCGTTTTCAACCCGTAGTTGTAGGCATACGATAACCAACCAATATTGAGGTAAGTACAACGTTAACAAGGGATAGTAAGCTGTTTTAGAAAAGTAAAGGCGCTAAGGTGAATCATTTAAGTGTAATGAAACAGGTAAATGCAATTTATCATTAATATATGCATTCATAACGGAAATACAATGGGAGACTATAATCCCTAGGCTGACAAAGTTCATTTGCAATGTATAATGCTACCTATATAAGTCTTACTATCATGATGTCCACTTTTGGTTTAATACAATTATCCACAAGCCGGTTGTTTTAATTTCATACCTTTTTGGGTATTTGGTGCACAACCGTACCCTATAGAGAATAGGAATAGAATAAGTCGAATCAAATTCATAAAGAGCTATAAAATGTTAGGTTTAGTGGAATATAATGAGCAAGTGAAGACGTTATTAGAAAATGTATGAGATGAGACATTGTTAAGTGATATTCGAAGATACGACAAAGGAAAGCATGTTAATTTATATGATGCTCCATAAATCTGTACAGAGCCCACGTGGTCGCATCTCAGCAATAGGCTGACCGAATGGTATATGTTTAAAGGTAGAAGCATGATCTGTCCAGGCGATCATTATTATCTATTTCAAGATAAAGATTCAAGCCCTCATAGAAATCTCGAGCCGTCAAATTGCATATTGCTATTCCTGCAGAATGGGGCGGTTCACCTTAGTGTCCACCACCATAACTACTGATCAGCATGCGCCACCCTCCCTCCTTTTATGATGTTAGGCTCTGATTGTTATGGCTACAGCAAATATATTGCCTGATTCCAGACACGTTCGTACCTCACATTCCATTTCCCTAGCTTTCCTAGTGAGTGCTTCCAATAAATCTCCACATACAGATTTGTGAACATATTATATATGTGTGCATGCGTCCTAATGAACAGATTAGTTTATAAGATGTTAAACCCTTAAAGAGTAAAAAGAATAGATTTTGTGAATAGTGGAGCAAGATTCATCAGAACACTATAGTTAAAGCTCAATGTAGGTAGTATGAACTGAAGGTAAGGTCGGTTGGCGGGACTTATTGTACTAAATTATCATGAACGTCTTTTATATGGTAAGCATTTGACATTGCAAAGTAACCAGTCTACACATATTATAAAACGATATTAACACAGAACCAACAGAATTTGAGGGGCAGTTGCTTCCCATCAACTCGAATGGGCGTCGGACACGCGAATGCCACATCACACTGCAGTGGGGGAACACTTCTCACTTCAGTTCACATGCACACTAATCTAGATGCAGTAATAAGTTGGGACTCAATGTATAATGCATACTGCGGCACAGTCACAGCTCGACTGTTATCGGCAGTATGTATGATCCTCACTGAAAACACCAGCGCTATGTTCACCACTGTTTATCCACCCATGGCGACATCAAAACTAATAAGCTATACTCAGACAGTCGTCTCTTGCACAAGAGGTGATTCATGCGTACTAGAAAAATATGAAAGTACGGCTACACGTTCGATACCCATTGTGGCCAGAATATCCTCACTGATAACACAAAATACTGCTCAAAAATCAAGGGCGGACTATAGCTCCATGGAGTACTGCTTCCGATATGAGCCATTACCTGTTAGAGCTGACCGCTATATGAAGTGGCGTATGGACTCCCAATTAGCCCATTCAAGAATGGAAAAGACGATCACAGGTGCACAACAGAAAAGGAGTAATATAGGTTCGAAGCCTTGTGCATTTAGTCAAATATCCAAAAGCTCAAACCCACGCTTTGTATCCAAAAGAATTTCGTCCAACCCCTGTAGTAATGACAATCTCATCGCCTTTCTTATCTAAACTTCCTGTTTGATTCATGTTATTTTAAGTTTTTCTTAATCCCTGTCTACACTACCATACTTTCATATCCACTCTTCTTGTTTACTTTGTCATTTTATTATTTATACATATTTAATCCCTGATTCCATAAACAAATATTCATCATATTAGTTTTTTATCCAAACATCCTGTATATTTTGTTATTTCTACATTTCTAACCCCCAATTGCACAATGTCAATCTTCTTAGTTATTATAATGCTACTTTGTTCGAGTTTTATCCGTCCCCCTGTTTATTATGGCATTCTAATTCCTAGTTGTAATTTTTATTAATTTGACCCTTAACCGGAAATTATTCTGGAACTTTCCCATCTACTTGATATAAATACACGAATGTACAGCCTAGATGATGACTTCGTCGAAAAGAAAATTTTCTTCGCTGCAATTGTCTTTTTAATAACTTCTATGACCCAATGTGTATATTACGTGAAATATCCGAATGTAAATGACTTGAACGCATTGTACATTGTACAGCTACACAGTCGGGATATTTTGAACATCAAGGTGACTTTGTAATTTCATGAGAAACGCTTTCTGAGTCTGGAAACTCACTGTTTGCATGAACACGTATGCTTAAATTTGCTGTGATGCACCATTCAATTAAGGCTTGATGCAATACGTATTCTGTCCACATTACATACTGTTTTCAATTTTTGTGGTTTAGCGACTTGCTTTGTTGAATTTCACGTTCCCATAGATTAGAACTGGGCCAGAGAGTTTAGTAATGGAGTCCTGTCAAAAGAAGCGCGAATAGTGTTTGTTGTCAGCTATTGTTTGAATAATTAGCATAATCTTTTTCCGGTGTCAGGGTACATACTGAACTCACATTACCTTTTCGTAGTTAAGTGAGCCTACACTACTATGATGCACTGCAATATCTGCAACCTTTTAAAAGTTGTTTTTCAGTTTCTGTGTTAAATGTCGGATGCATATTTAATGTGTGCAATAACTGAGGCAGTCCCAGATTGTTAATAGTAAGCTGTTTGTCTATTGAAATTATATGATTCACACTCTGGAGATCTTTTCGTTTCCCACAAGTACACTGTACACTGGTGCTACTAGTGTATTCCTGACCTAAATCTCTAGAATCCACATACCCTAGTGTTTTTCCTCGCAAGGATACGACTGGATGTATTAAACTTGTGGGAATAGGAGTGAACAATGACGTGAATGAAGGTGGAGATGTAACACAGAGACGTCATTGGTTCTTAATGTCCCTCCTTTTAATATCTGACTCATCGCCCACTGTTATGTTTTGCCTCCATTTTATCTTTTCTGAAACGACAAGGTTTGACCAGTGCTATACCTCAGGTGTGATCGAAAGTCAACGCTTACTGATGGAGTTTCAATATAGTACTTCCCACTGAAGTGCTCTCTTAGGAGGTTTCACAATCCATGTAGGAGACGAAAGTGGAAGAATGAGGTTGAAAGGAAGGGAGAAATAGGCAGAAATATTGAGTAGAACAAGTTGTCCCTTGGAAAAATGTGGTGGTTTCGAAGTTGTGGGGAATCAAAGAGAGTGAATGCATGTGCCACTGAGAACAATTTTGAGTTAAGATGTTCGGATATTCCTGCAGCTGAAGTGTTGAGATAACTCAGTGTCAGGATCTATTGATGAGGTCGTACTTTCTCTGACTAAATGCCGGGTTTTCTGTAAAACAGTGTAAGTTGTGATAAAAGCCTCGTCGGTGAAATATTGCATACGGATATGGCAAAATTTACTTTTGACCTCAGGTGGTGCATCTCGTTGTAACTAATGCCTGCTCAATGATAATAATAAAAGGTACTCCAAAGTTGCACTTATCTAACTTATAAGGAGAGGGCTCATTGTTTTTGAAGAAGAATTTTGGATACATTGAAGAAAGGGTTGCTTAATCGAGACTAGACATGGCGGTCGGGCTCGCATATCTCAAGGACCGAATAACAATAGGTTGAGTAATATTGGAGCTAGTCGTCAGGTGTTAGGTAAGGAGGGAAAGTCAGTCGACGAGGTTGTGAAGCTGCATTGGTTGAGGTGACTGGGAGATGTGTTATGCTTGGCGAGCCATCACCTTCCTCGATGGGTAGTGTTAGCTGACATATTATTAGGTTGGAAAAGTGTTGGGCTTAGTCAAGCTAGAGCCTGGAATCAGTTCGCGAGACCTATGACAGTTGGTTTGAGTTGCATAAGGAGATAGACTGCCTGGTTTGAGTCCTTAGGATGCTTTGAAGTTGTTGTTGCGGTTGTTTGTTGATATAAGGCGAATGATCACAGATGCGGCATGTTGGAATTTTGCGGTTCGTCTATGTTTGTAAACGGGTGATATCACCAGTTCTTTGATAGTATTTGGTCACTAATCCGTATGGATGCTGTTGGATTGCATTACTTCCTATGATGCTTAGCTCGGTTTTATTTTAGGTGGACTCCTTTGTTTTGTGTGAGCTGGAGAATGTGCATCTGTATTCTTCTCACAGTGAAGTTGTTTGTTGAGCAGTTGAAATGCAACTGTATGCCGAACTGGTCCTATTTGAAATTGTTTTATCCAACACACTGACTGTCTTCTGGGCACTTATCTGTTTTGCAGTGGTCTTACTAACAATGGTCTTTTCAATAGAGTTTACCAAACATTATGTGCGTACTGCGCATCGCTTATCTCTGTCCTTATTTCACGACTGTGAAAGGTGGTCTTAGGATGTGGTAGACAATAAGAGGCTAGTTGTCATAACTGTGTGTCTGCGTCCATTTTCTCGTCTTAGGTGGTCGAATATTAGGTCAAGAGGGGAAGTTAGTCGATGAGACTATAATGTTACATCGGTTGAAATGCCTAGGATGTGTTACTGTTGTGAAATCATCCTTGTCCTCGAGTGATACTGGATGAAATTGGACTAGAGTGGGAAGGAGTTAGGGGTGCTCAAAATAAGACGTGGAATCAGTTAATGAAGTGCTTGACTGTTTTTTTTTCTCTTAAGTCGACCACGTGTGGAATTGTAAACTGCCTAGTTGTGTTCATCAAGACTCTTAGAACTAGTGTTTGGGGAACTGTTAGCGTCATAGCTTAAAATCGTTCTCAATGGTGTAGATGCATGCAATCACTGTGATCTCCAAGGCCTATTAAATTCCCATAATTATTCTGATTCTTGCTGTCATTCATTTCCACGCAGTGTAGTTCTTTCTTCAAATTTCTCCGTTTCTTTCCACTTTTGCCTACATTTATGTGTGTTACATTATTATTATTATTGTGCCCTTGGGTTCCTGGTGGAACATACGGTATCAACTGCACGCCTGCACTTGCTTCTGTCTTCTGCTGTACATTTCACCTGCATCTATGTTAGTACATATTGTTTCAACTCTTCTTCATACGATCTCCCCCATGTCACCCTTGGACGTCTCACTCGCCGCTTCCCTTTCGGGTTCCACTCGAGCGATGGCCTGACGCGCGATGTCACCCAGCGGCCAATCCATCTCCACTTTCTCCTGCATATTTGTTGAGCGATTGGTTCTTGTTTTGTTTGTTCCCATAGTTTCTTGTTGGTACTTGTTCTTTCCGGCCATCTGATCTTCAGTATCGAGCGAAGACATTGTTGTTGATAAAGGTCTGCAACAGGCTGTTGGAAATATTCTTTGTGACCCACTGGCGAAGTTTCTGACCCATCCGTATAGAAGAACTGACTGACTTGACGTTTGTATTGAAAATCCGAATCATTTTGTTGTTGATGCAGGCTGAGTGACGAAGATTTCCAGATTGGTTTCAGGTTGATGAATATGTTTCTCGCCTTCCCGATTCTCGATTTGACATCCTCGTCCGTTCCTCCTGTAGTTGAGACAATGCTCCCTAGATGAGTGAAAGAAGTAACCTCTTTCAAATCCCACCCGTTGATGGTGATTCCTGCTGGATGTTGCTGCTGCTGTTGTTGTTGATGATGTTGGTTGGTTATTTTCATAACCTCCGTCTTGTCTATGTTCACCTGGAGTCCCGTCTTTGCTGCTTCTTCCACCAGTTTGTCGGTTTTCGCTTGTAAGTCTTCGATTTTGTGTGACATCGAACATAAATCATCCACGCGCGAAATCCAGGTCTTCTAGGTCCTTCACATCTGTCTAGGATATCCCTGTCTTCTCGTTCCCACTGTCTGACGCATAATCCAGTCCACCACAATTAGGAATATCATTGGTGATAATAAGCATCCTTGTCTGACTCTTGTGTTTACTCCAAACGCCTCGCTGAGTTTTCCGTTGTGGATCACTTGACATGTGCTGTTGTCGAACAGCTGTTGAATAAGGTTGATGAATATTTGGGGTACGCCGTAGTACTCGAGTAGTTTCCAAATTACTTCGCGGTCAACGCTGTTGAAGGCTTTCTCGCAGTGTATAAAGTTGAGGTAGAGGTTTGATTGCCATTCCATGCTTTGTTCTGTGATGATGAGGCGTAGAGTTGCAATTTAGTCAGAACATGATTTGTCTTTCCTGAATCCAGCTTGTTCAAGTCGGAGTTCTGTATCCAGTACTTCCTTGATTCTCTCCAGGATGATGCGACTCAGAATTTACTTGGCGTCGACAGGAGCATGATTCCTCGCCAGTTCTTGCAGAGTCCTAAGTCGCCCTTTGGTGGTTTCACTAGGTAACCTTTCCTCCCTTCAGTACGCACCTTTCCCTCCTTCCAGACTTTTTGCAATAATGGAGTCAGCATATCTGCTGTCGTCCCTGGGTCCGCTTTCAGTGCTTCAGGGGGTATTCCATCTGGTCCAGATGCTTTTCCAGCTTTCAGAAGCTTGATTACATTCAGCTTTCGTTGGAGGATTGGTGTCAACTTGCAGTTGTGTACGTGCTGTTATTGGTATTTCTGGACGGGTTGCAGGTGGTGGTCGGTTCAAGAGTCCTTTGAAGTTGTCCGCCCATTGCCTAATCTGCCTTTCTTCCTTGGTAATTGGGTTCCCTTGGCTGTCTTTTATAGGTTTCAATTGTGTTGATCTCTTCCCGGAGAGACTTGGTTATCTGATATAGTGTCCTCAGGACAGTATGACAACTTGAATTGCTGCATTTTTGTGCAAAGTTCTACATAGAAGACACCCAGTCACTCAGTACTGCTTTTGGTTACTACTTAAGACACTGGTGGGTTCATCTTGATATTCTTCATCACAATCAAACCTATTTTGGACGTTTCAATTAGAATAGAGGCATAAAGATTGACGAACTTTTACTAACTGGTCACAGTTGGTTGACTGTCTTTCACACTCCTGTAAATCCGGATTTAGAATTGTTTGTTCTCTGGAAGGTGTAGGTTGCATAATTGAAATGCTGGTTGTCAAAGAGAAATACTTTACCGCCACCCCACTTCTGTTCAGCAGGTATTACTTCTTTGTATAGGAAACTGTTTTACACCAGAATTATTCACATATACAGTAGCCGCTTATCAACTATCTCACTGTCGTTACACAGTTGTTCCAAAAAGTTATTCTAGGGTATGACACAAGTCTAATTACGTCATGGCATTAGCTAATGATCAACGATATTACTTCGACGTTTTACCACTCTGTGCATCCGTCTACTTGCCTTAATTCATTTTTTCATCATCTATAACTAGTGTTTGTCTCTTTGCTTTTATCACTTTGGCTCTACTCAAGCAATTTAACACTACTATAGCAGAACAGTCTTCTTTCGTCAGTATAATTGGCTGTTCCTTTTGGGAGACTCCAACTGAACATTTGAATTTTTCTCCAGTTTTTGGTCAGTGAAGTTAAGCATTGTCTATGAATATGCTAATTATGTCCCTATTCGTTGTTTTTGTGTGAGAGACGTATATCATCTGCGAATTGCAGGTCGTCTATGGTCTTCGTGTCTGTCCAATGTATTGTCGTGTTTCCAATGCCGAAGCATGCCGGTATGTCGTATTATTCAGTCTACCGCAGTCAGGAATATCAAATTTGATAGTAGGCAGCCTTGTCTTACTTCTCTCATTACTTCAAAGGCTTTACTCTGTTTTGTGTTGCGATTCATTTGATATGTGGCGTCATCATGAGCTGCTTAATAAGGTTCATAAAAGTTTGGGGTTTTGAACTGCATAGTGCTGGAGCAGCTTCTATATCATTTCATGGCCAATAATTTTGAAAGCTTTTTCGAAATCGATAAAGTTGAGGTGTTGGGTTGACTGCTATCTTAGGTTCTATCCAATTATGCGTATTGTTGCGGGTAACTTTAAGGAATAGATACCACATCCAAGAACCAAAGGCAACATATAATCAAATTGCCAACCTCTCAAAATAAATTCTTATATGGAGACTTCTTCATTCGTCCAAAAAAAACATAAGTAACTGGGACAAATTTTTGCAACAGCCGGATGCGTGTCCACTTCCTTGAGGTAGATATGAGGTCTGTCTGATATAGTTATCTTGGGTCCCTCTTTCCTGAGCTTGTCCTGCTTCAGTTGTTGGTTCGTCGTAGAATTGTGGTAATCATTAAGAGGATAGGTGACACCGAATACTATATATTCTTCTTTTGTTCTGCTTCCTCTTCCTTCTTCAAACGGATGTACAGGTTTCCGTCAGCATCACTTTCAGTGTTCCAGTGTACTTCTAACCGGGTTTCCTCGGTGACGGTGCATAGTGTTTCGGACTTTGTTCTGATGACTGCAGTGAATGTGTTCTATGTAGTTTATTCAGGTATAAAGCTAGGTAGTATTCTACTGTTTTGCTTTGTATACTGCATTAACTGTTTTTTTTTGTTTTAGTGATACTGTCGAGTTCGTTGGTTACGAATTGTCTGACTACTTTAAATGAAAAAAAGGCCATCGTCCACAAGTTCCAGACGGCTGAAATCTCGACGAAGCGTAGGTTCTTGGACTCTCAAACAACCAAAAAAAGGTAGTGTCACTTTATTTTATTTTTTTGTATCTCACAGAGCCTGATGCGGATCCTCCAGTGGACAAATCAAATCATTCGCCTGTTTGTCCCCTAGTAGGATGCTCTGGAGTCGGTCATATAAATGGAAAAGATGTTGTTCATATTACTCTATCTGGTTGCCCATTTTATCATAATATGAGCTTCTCCAAATGGATTGAGATGTGTTCACGAGAAGAAGGTCTTGTTATTCCACAATCCGTAAAAGATATCGCAGCGTCTGCAGAGTCACCATCCAAAGCCAAAAACAAGCTCGATCGTTCCTATCAGTTTAAGACTACGCAGCGGGAACCTTTGTTGGATGATCTTGCCACTCCAATTGAGTTGTATCAGTTTCGCCGTGCTCAACAGCTAGTGGTTTCCACCTGTGTAGGCATATAAATATTTTCTTAGTTTTTATTTTAATTTCCTATTCCTCCTGCTGTCTCATTTTAAAGGTCGTTATGTATAATTAGTTTTTCAAAGCATTCTTCCGTATGTTATACATTTCTTTGTAGTTAATTTTTCCTTCACTGTTCACTATTGTGCTAAACCCTTTTTTTAACCCAAAAGCTCTAGTATACACCATACTGATGCTAAGCCGAGGATACTCAACGCTCCTCTATCCAGCCATCTCTATTTTGATTGGAGTGCTGATATCAAGACATAAATAATTCTGAGGATTAGTGACTAATGTTCTATTATGATGAAAAATAACATGTAGTGTATGTGAGATCATCTTTAAATACTGACTGGCTTTGATACATGTCATCCCATTGTGTGCTAGGTTTAGTTGAACAGGTAATCAGTTTATCATGTGCGGTATCGTATGATGAGTTTTGGTTGTACTGAACTGGAATTTCTTGATTCATCAAGACTTCATGAAGAGGTCTGAAAAGTCGCGGGGGGGGATGTATTTTTCTGAATCAACAACAATCGTAACTACGTGACACTTTGCATATGGTATCTACAACCAGAATGTATTGTAAGCAATTAGCCCTTCTTTGCATTTATGTCTAACATAATTTAAATCAGTTTCTCTTCTTCATTTGTAGCTGTAATGCTATATTATTTTGCTGCGCCTATGGTGCTTTCTAAATACTTCTCCGAAAAATCTACAAGTATTCGTGTTAATCTCAATTACGTTTTAGTATATATATATATATATATGCGTCGGTGGTTTAGTGGCAGAACACCTACCAACCAAATACATGGCCCAGGTTTTTATCCCCAGTCGACGCATTCTTAGGCCTCGCTTGATAGGTAGTAAGCCCGATGAAGAGGGAACTTTGGGCATCAGGCTAGCAACTCCATCCCGTAAGAAGAAACAGCATGGACACTGAAACTTCAAGGCTTCAAGCTCCACTCAGAATGCATAGAATTAATGATGAGAAGAACCCAATACTGAATTTTGCCACACCAGTGATCTGGAATCACTTACCACTTACAAACTTATGGAAACACCTAAATTTTATCTCAACATATATATATATATATAAACTGTTGTTCCGGCTGCTGAAAATGACTACACTAGTCAGAAAGAACTTTCCTTCCCTGAATTGTGTTTTATTTCTGTCGTGACTCAGTGTATATTTTCATTCTTTTAATCATAGTTTATTGTTTCCGCTTTATTATTTTCATCATTTAGGAAATGGAAGCCAAGGAACATTTGCTTTTGTGTGCCCGAGTAGCTTCATATTCTTCATCGAGTGGTAATTTTTAAATTTCTTACTTCAAATTTAAACATACGCAGAAAACGATAGATTCGCTACAGAACAGCGTATACGTTCTGTGATTTTTGGAAAATGGGCTATAGAGCCATGGTATCAGAGTAACTATCCGGCTGATCTGTGCTGTCTCCCCTATATATACATCTGTGAATTTTGTTTAACAGGAATGCGCTATTATGTGACATACCACCGCCATAAAGCAAGTAGTTTATTCTATCCTTGACCATTATTATTATTATTATTCGTTTTCATAATGTGATTTTAATTTTTTTTTTTTGGCCCACAAAAGTAATGCATAAGACTGTTACATAATGGTAAACAAGACGATATGTGTTCCTCAGTATTAGAGAGTGGTGGGTTTTAATTCCATACTAGATCCTTTGTTGTTGTTTCTTTTTCCAACTCAGAACACAGTGGTACACTGTGCATACTGTTTGGCGTGTCCAGTACAAAGTATTCATTGGTCATAATATTATTGTGTTTATAAACCTTCAGACAATTAATGATTATAAAAATGTCCTGAGTTTGTTATAAGTACATCAGTGCGTAAGAGTGAAATTGATAAGTTCCTTTCTTTGGTCTTGGTGTTGACGTATACAAAATATCCTGCAGTTTGTATCCTTTTGTTGCCTCTAGAGATAATTAACTGTGTAATAATAGGCTCTGCTTGTTGGTACGTCGGTGGTTCGACAGTGGAATACTCGCAAACCGTGCATGTAATACGGGGTTCGATTCGCGGCCGATGCACTCTTAAACCTCCACTGGGCAATAGTAAACCGCCCAGTAGAGAGGGAAGGTTGAGCGTGAAGCTAGCAATGCCAACCTATGAAACAGGAGTAACACCACTGCTTAAAGCCCTATGTCCCACTTGGAACACAAACGAATAAAATTGATAAAAAATGAATAACATATAGGAATAACTTGAGAGTTAATTTTTAGGTCTCTACTCAAGAAATCTAATCAAGAAACCAACACTTGAATAGCAATGAGATGCTCACTAGCGACTTGCCCTATTCAGGTAGGTAGTTACCTGGAGTTTCAGTGGGAAGTCGTGACCAGTAGGGTGCAGCAGTTCGGGTGTTAGGACAAACACTCGCCGATGACATTGGTTAGGGGTCGGGCTATGTCGTGAATTGGCAGAAGCTAGAATTCATGGGCCATTGGATCGGGTCCCAGTGGCTTAATGGTCTATGAGCTCGCCTTGTAACCAAAAGGTCCTGGGTTCGAACCCCGGTGGGTGTGTACTGATGAAGAGTCCCAAACTAGGACGGAGGAAACACCTATCCAGTACTCCCAGGTTTTCCAATGGTTCTCTAACTAATGTCAGCTCATGATGAAAATCCTGTAACCAATCAAATCCCTACAAACCAACAATTGAAATCTAATATTCCTGGTAAACGTATATATATATTATCGGTAAGTGCTGGGCATTTGTTTTGTTTACCACTTTATACCACGGATCCTTCTGTTGTTATTGATGTCAGGTTTTCCTTCCCTTTTATTTCTCACAAATCATTCTCCTTATGAAATTTAATTACAGTTAAAATGTGGTCGAACTTGTCCCCCGGGTAATGAAGTGTATCGAAAAGACAACTTATCGTTTTTTGAAATTGATGGAGAACACTACCAAGTAAGTATCTGTTTCATTATTTTTTGTGCAACTTCAACGTTTTTATTTCCTTGTGTTAAAAATATTGCAGATAAAATACGATCAATGCATATATATAAAATAAAAATGAAATAAGACATTACCTGACACCCAGCCGTAATTCCATGAACTGTTGGCAATAGGCTACACTTATTTTTGTGAAGGCTACTGATATCCACCTAGACCTCGGTAGTTAGAGGGAGTTTCGAACTAGTGACCTATTGGTTAAAATTTGAGCACTTGGACCAATGTTCCACAGTTTCGAGTGAGAGATGAAAGTCAATGGGGGGGAATACTTACTTGTCACCCGTGCCACCAGAAGTAAACATCATTCCTCCCGCATAACTTCTTTTTTATTCACTTCTATTAGGATCAGTAGGATATGAGAAGTCAGTGATTTTCATTGCATTTTTAGCTCATAATAAAATGCGCTTTCCATGCATTTCCGTCTATTTATTTATTTATTTGTGTTTGTCTTACTGACTTTCTGTCTCCGTGTTATTCGAAGATATGACAAAGCACACTAAAGTGTCCTGTGAATCAGTTGACTCGAGATTTCAGTTACTGTACTACATATTTTGTACGTGTAATTTGGTGACTTGGGGACATCTGAGTCATTCATTGCAAAAATTTTTATTATTATTTTATTTATTATTTCACATCTTCATTTGTATTATTCTCTACCCCCACCCTTATTTAATTTTAACCACCACTCATTAACAATGTTGCCAACCTGACCTACTCTGAATTCTACTCAATTGTATTACGTCATCCAATTCACTTAATCAATTTTGTTTTATTTTCTATCTAATTAACGTTTGTTTCCAAGCCAAATATTACTTATATTACGTAATTATCTAAACTTTATAAATCTAATGTACACACACACACAAACAAAATTGTATAAAAATGCGATTGTACAGCTCAGTGAATGAATTCGCTGGAAAGAGTCCCTTCGCTGAACATTTTACATTGAAAAATTGTATGAGTATTGTTGTTAAGGCGTAGTGAAGTCAATATGTATGCTCATTTCGAATGAAACTCCAGTAAGCCTATCTAATATTTTCAAGTATTGCTTTTGCAGGGATTTTGTTTGATTGGTTGGAGGATTCCATCATGGGCTGACATCAGTTAGAGAATCATTGGAAAACCTGCAGGGAGTACTGGACAGCTGTTTCGTCATGAATTGGCAGAAGCTTGAATTCATGGGCCATTGGGTCAGGTCCCAGTGGCTTAATGGTCTACGAGCTCATCTTGTAACCAGAAGGTCCTGGGTTCGAACCCCGTAGTGTGGGTGTGTACTGATGAAGGGTCCCAAACTAGGATGAAACAGCTGTCCAGTACTCCCAGGTTTTGCAGTCTTTCTCTAACTGATGTCAGCCCATGATGGAATCCTCCAATATATCTAATATTTCAAATACGGGATGTTGATTTCCCCCAAAAACCAAAATCATATTAGGAATACTATTTCACATTATGTGATTGGTGTGTTTCAAACGCCGCAATTATGCTCGACACAGTCCTGGAATTCCCTTTAAGTTAACAACTGATTATCCCGTCTACCTATACGGCTGCTTATCCGTCATCCATGAATTTTGTTTTTTCGTAATTGTTACCTTCATTTCTCTGATATTTCTCATTGTCAAGTGTTCATGACGACATAAATTAACCGTTCGGCAGTGTTGTTATTATTATTATTGGTTTCTGCCCCTCAAACTTTTTATCTTTTCAATATTTGTTTGTTTTAGCTTAATCAGCTGATTGGTTTCTTTACACTATATAATCACACAGAGAATAAAAAGCTTGTTTTTTGATGTGTGTATGTATGTGCTTGTTCTTCAGGAATACTGTCAAAATTTGTGTTTAATGGCCAAATTATTTTTGCAACAAAAGACTGTCCATGAACTAGACCAAGTGCCAGAGTTTATGTTCTATGTACTAACGGAAACAGATCAAGAGGGTTCACATATTATTGGTTATTTTTCAAAGGTGAGTAGCATTCCGCTTTACATAACAATCAGATTTTCTTTTGAGGTTATTATTTGTTATTTTTCCCTTGAGTTCCAAAGAGAACAAAGGGTTTCAATAGCATATCTCCATTTCACCCCCTTCCCCGCGGCTGGCTTCATGACAACCTGTAGAGATTTCATCTCTTCCTCCAACAATAACCTCCATTCACCCTCAGACACCCAAGTCGTTTCCCATTCGTGTTCCACTCGAGGACCTGAGACGTGATATCACTCATCGGTCTTCTCAGCATATGTCCGATTCATTTCCACCTCCTTCAGTATATTTGCTGGGTGATAGACTGTTGGTTGATTCGTTCCCAGAGTTCTTTGTTACTATGCCCTTCTGTCTAGCCATCTAATCTTCAATATAGATTAAATGTAGTTGTTGTTAGAAGTCTGGGGCAGACTGTAGGGGATGTTTTTCGTGACGCTCTCGTCAAGTCTTTGAACTGTGTAGAAGCACTGACATAGAAAAGTGTTGGAAACCCGAATCTATCTTGTTTTACCGATCCTGACTTCCTTCTGCATCCTTCATCTGTGGCACCACCTGAAATTACTCTGCCTAGATAAGTGAAGGAAGTCACCTCCTTCAAAATTCGTTCGTTGATTGTGAATGGTGCGTATTGTTTTTATTATTGTTGGCTAGGTATCTACATTGTGTCTATCTTCTCTGTGTTGGCTTAAAGTCCTGTCTTCGCTGCCTCTTCTGCCCACCTGTTGGTTTTCGCCTGTAGGTTTTCGAGTTTGTGTGACATTAGACATAAATCGTCCGCAAAGTCCAGATCTTCTGGAATCTTATTATTGGTTTAACATATTCCTGTCTCCCTGCTCCGCATAGTCTTCTGCATGATCCAGTTGACCACAGTCAGGTATATTTTGTCAGTGATAGTAGGCAGGCTTGTCTTACTTCTGTGCTTACTTCAACGGCTCTGGTGTAAATCACTTGATATGTTACAATCCTTAAGTAGACAGTCATGGAGGTTTTATTGGTTTTGTGGAGAAAACTCATCTGATTTTATGGATATACTTGACTTTACTACATGGAGTTTTTGGGATTTAAGTTTTGTAATTTAGATTATCATCAGAACTCTGTGTGTGCCTTGTTGTCTTACATCCTAATATAGTTGTAGGGCTAGTGAGCATAAATTGCGATGTTATATATATATATATATTCTGAATAAAGGGACAAATTACAGCACATGTCAAGTGATCCACAACGGAAAACTCAGCGAGGCGTTTGGAGTAAACACAGGAGTCAGACAACGGTGCTTATTATCACCACCGATGATATTCCTAATTGTGGTGGACTGGATTATGCATTGTCAGACAGTGGGAACGGGAAGACAGGGATATCCTGGACCGACGTGAAGAACCTAGAAGACCTGGATTTCGCGCGTGGATGATTTATGTTTGATGTCACACAAAACCGAAGACTTACAAGCGAAAACCAACAAACTGGTGGAAGAAGCAGCAAAGACGGGACTCCAGGTGAACACAGACAAGACGGAGGTTATGAAAATAACCAACCAACATCATCAACAACAACAACAGCAGCAACATCCAGCGCCAATCACCATCAACTGGTGAGATTTGAAAGAGGTTACTTCTTTCACTCATCTAGGGAGCATTGTCTCAACTACAGGAGGAACGGACGAGGATGTCTAGTCGAGAATCGAAAAGGCGAGAAACACATTCATCAACCTGAAACCAATCTGGAAATCTTCGTCACTCAGCCTGCATCAACAACAAAATGATTCGGATTTTCAATACAAACGTCAAGTCAGTCAGTTCTTCTATACGGATGGGTCAGAAACTTCGCCAGTGAGTCACAAAGAATATTTCCAACAGCCTGTTGCAGACCTTTATCAACAACAACTGTCTTCGCTCTATACTGAAGATCAGATGGCCGGAAAGAACAAATACCAACAAGAAACTATGGGAGCAAACAAAACAAGAACCAATAGCTCAACAAATATGCAGGAAAAAGTGGAGATGGATTGGAGACTCGCTGAGGAGGCCACTGGGTGACATCGCGCGTCAGGCCATCGCTCGAGTGGAACCCGAAAGGGAAGCGGCGAGTGAGACGTCCAAGGGTGACATGGAGGAGATCGTGTGAAGAAGAGTTGAAACAGTATGTACTAACATGGATGCAAGTGAAAAGTACAGCAGAAGACAGAAGCAAGTGGAGGCGTGCAGTTGAAGCCCTATGTTCCACTAGGAACCCAAGGGAACTATAATAATATAATAATAAAGGGACAAATTAGAGTATACTATATTTTGCAAACTTCCGTCATTTCTCCTGGTCTTTTCTGAGTTCATTATCATTTGAAAAACTAAAATAGACAATGAAAAGTACACTTTTGTACAAACACCAGGTTATTCATTTTCAAGTTATTATGTAATTAAGAATTTATACTTTAGTCTGATTTCTGTTGACTATGAACGTTTCCAGCGACAAATCATTTTTCCTCAGCTTCATTTCGGATGCATGTAGTTTTTCATGAAAGCAAACTATTGGATACCAGACCCAAGACTTGAGTACTAGTTAATCTTTATCAGTTTGTCGAACTGCTTCTGCTTGTTGAACTTGGAATAGCACACACATATCTGGCGTGTAAATTGTCTATCCAACTTGGAGGATTCTAGGTGATTGACTGGATGACTTCCACTAATCGACATTAACCATTAAATTGTTAGAATCCATAAGACACTAAAAGGCCACGTTTTCGTTCTACATTTGCACTTATCCACTTATCCACACACTGGTGTGGGTTCAAGCTCAGGACCGTTAAGTTTCAAGGCTAGTGGGTTATACAGGCTAAACCGGTTTGGCTTAAAATCTGTTGATCCGTGATATTCAATTTCTGTTAATGCTTCATCATGTCAAATACTTTCACATAATGTGTATAAAAGAAAAATGAAGTTGATATAAGAATAAAACTTGTGCACTGTGGTAGAGTATAATTCCATTATGGGTAAATTTTTGTTTTGATTAAGTCTCACAGTGTTATACAGTAATATCATATCACCTTGATATGATTATGAGCAATAAATTGTGCTCGAAACGTGATCAGTAAATATTACTGTATAACACTGTGAAAGATGAAGTTATTTTGTGTCTTCATTTTGGTTCAGAGTTATGCAGCCAAATGTAATTGCAAATTAACAGCTCGACTTTCAGTAGTCAGTAGTAGATTTGCACTGTTATCTAGTACAAAGAAGAAGGAAAAAAAGTGAATTTTTCGGCATTAATTTGTTACTGTTTCATCCTAGTTTGGGAATCATCGACAGTACGCACCCACTGGGATTCGAACCCAGGACCTTCCGGTTACAAGGCAAGCTCGTATACCATTCAGCCACTGGGACCCGATTCAATGGATTATGAATTCTAACTTCTACCAATTCGTGATTTAGCGCGACCCCAACCATTGTCGTTGGTGGGACATCCATCCACACACGTGACATCTAATTGGACCTCACTGGTCACGACTCTTCTCACTAGAACTCCAGGAAACTCCATCCTGTAGCAAGTCACTAGCGAGCATCAGATTAATTTTCTATAGTTTGGTTTGTAAGGGTTAGTTATGTTTTTACGAGTTGATCACGAATTGATATCAGTTAGAGAACCATTGAAAACCAGCAGGGAGTACTGGACAGCTGGACAACACATAATATATGAGAATGTTATAAATTATTTAAAATAATCCCAGCGTGTCTAAGAAAAAAAAATCAAAACAAGAGTTTTCTGAACGTTCGTCTATGCAAGGCACAGCTTCTTCGCCATGACTGACTTCAATTTATGCAATTTTTGACTATGTATTTTGATGCCTAATAAAATCCGAATCATATTTAAATGCGGAAGAAGCTATGGCTTGCACTTAGAGACGTTCAAAAAATTTTTGTTTTGATCTATTTTATTCAACACTCTCGACTTATTTCAAATAATTTATACTCATCCAATCTCACTCGGCGCACAAATTATTCCAGGAAATCCATAACATCTACCGTCTGCAAACTTCGATACCAAAATGAATTCCGAATTCACGTAAGTGACTTCGCCATACTTTCCCTCACATACATGTGTATATACAGATATATCTATCGAAAAACCCCATAGTGTAATCAAAACAAAATGATTTCGAGTGGACAATTATTGTCTTCGATAAATTCCTCCTCAAACTCTACAGTTATAAATCCATGAATATTATATTAGAATACAAATAGCCATTGAAGGCATGTGAAAATTACACCTGAAACTGTATTCGGGTACACGTATAATATGGAGGGAGTGGTAGCTCGTTATTTAATATTGTCAAATGAATGTGTATAATTAATGTGCAGTCATTCAGAACACTAAGATAAAGGGTGAATATGAAAACAAAACACGTAGTTCAGTGGAAAGTCTCTTTTCTTCGGCGAATTCATTTTCATTCATACAATTGCAAATATCATTGTTCCCTTGGGTTCCGAGTGGAACATAGGGCTTCAACAACACATCTCCACTTTGTTCTGTTTTCTGTCGTCCTCTTCATCTGTGTCCACGATTGCCCAAACTCTCTCATCTCTTCCTCACACGATCTCCTCCATGTCACCCTAGGATGACTCACATGTCACTTCCCGTTTGGATTCCACTCGAGCAATGGCCTGGCACGCGGTGGTGTCATTCGACGGCCTGCTCAATATATGCCCGATCAACCCATCTCCATTTTCTCCTACATATTTGTTGAGCGATCAGCTCTCGCCTGTTGGTTTGTTGCCAGCCAGAGTTTTTTGTTACTAATTTTTTCTGGCCAGCTACTTGATCTTCAGTATGCAGCCAGCAAAGGCAGATGTTGATGAAAGCCTTCAACCTGTTGGAAATCCATTTCGTGACACGCTAGCCAAGTTTCTGACCCGTATAGAAGAATCGACTTCACATTGGTGTTGAAAATGCGAATCTTGTTCCTTATGCTGCGGAATGCAGAAGATTTCCAAACTGGTTTCAGGTTGATCAAGGCGTGTCTTGCTTTTCCAATTCTGGCTGGCTTTGGCATCTTCATCCGTTCCCACTTCCCGTATTTAAAACGATGATTTCTAGCAGATAAGTGAAAGAGGTAACCTCTGTTAAATCTCTCCTGTTGATTGTGATTGGTTCTGGTTGTTGTTGCGGTTCATTGGATATCTTCATCACCTCCGTCTTCTCTATGTTTACCTGCAGTTCTGTCTTCGCTGTCACCTTCTTCAGCCAGTTTGTTGGTTTTCGCCTGCGTCTTAGTCTTCGAGTCTGTGTGACATTAGACATGCCATCTGCGAAATCCTGATCTTCTAGAGTTCTTGTTGGTCGTCCAACGTATTCCTGACTCCTCGCTCCTTGTGCACAGTCTGACGCATAATCCAGTCCACCACAATTAAGAATATCATCGTTGGTGATAATAGGCAGCCAGCCAGCTTGTCTTACTCCTGTATGTACTTCGAACGCCTCGCCGAGTTTTCTGTTGTGGATCACCTGACACGTGGCATTGTCATATAGCCAGCTGTTGAATGAGATTTATAAAGATTTGGGCACTGCATGCCGTCGTGTTGGAGTAGTTTCCATATTACTTCTCGAAGGCCTTTTCGAAGTCGATGAAGGAAGTTGAGATAGGGTGAGGTTTGACTGCCATTCTTTTCTTTGTTTGATGACGATGATGTTTAGAGTTGCAATTTGATCAGCACATGATTTGCCTTTCGTGAATCCAGCTTGTTCCGGCGGAGTGGGCGGAGTTCTGTATTCAGTGCATGTTTTATTCTCAACAGGATGACGCTACTTAGTATTTTACTTGGTGTGGATAAGAGTATTATTCCACGCCAGGTAGTTCTTGCAGAGAGGCGTTAGTTGCCCTTCTTTGTCAACTTGACGTGGTAGCCTTTCTTCCAAACCTTTTGTAGTAATCGGTCGGTCGGTTTTCGACATAGAACTTTGTACATATGTGCGGCAGTTCAAGTCGCCACACTCCATGTAGCACACAAAGGAAGAGAGGAAAGTAGGAAAAATGCATAATAGAGACAGTAAACAGAGGTGTGAGACAAAGGTATAGTAATAACGAAGAACAAAACAGTTTAATTGAAAATCATAAGTCACAAGGAGTGGATGCATCTGCGCCAGGCGTTGAGAACGATTTTGAGCCATGTCACCAATTGTTTCTAACCATTGGTTTTACCGTCGCGGGGACCCCAACCAGGAAGTCTACACCTTCCTACGTGGCCTAGACTAACTGTTGTCGATTTCATTGACTGGTGCCATGTTTTGGTTTGACCACCGCTAGCTCTTTTCCAGCCTGGCCCTATATCAGCTAACATTGCCCATTGTCGAGGAAGGCGATGAATAGGCATACGTAGCACATGTCCTAACTATCTCAGTCGATGTAATTTCACAGTCTCGTCGACTGATTTCCCCTCCTTACCTAGCACTCGACGCCTAACCCCAATATTGCTCACCTTATTATACCATTTCACGCGGGAGATAGAACGCAGACACCTATGCTCGAAGACAGTTAATCTTTTCATGTCTTCCGCTCTCAATGGCCATGTCTCACAGCCATAAAGGAGGACGGAGCGGACTGTTGAGCAGTACACACGCCCTGTGGTCGATAGCCGGTCGGATATCACGTCTACTAAGCCAGAGACGGCGTAAACTGGCATATGCGAAACTAGCCCTCTGCATTCGTGCTGAGATTTTGTTGGCATGAGCACGTCTGTGGCAGTCTCTGGGTCCGTTTTCAGTGCTTCGGAGGAATTCCGCCTGGTCCTGCGGTCTTTCCGGACTTCAGAAGCTTGATCGCATTTAGTATTTTAGCTTTCGTTAGAGGACTGGTGTCCACTAGCAGTTGTGTGCGTGTTGTTAGTGGTATTTCTGGGGGAGTTGCAGATGATGAGGGATTCAAGAGTCCTTTATAGTGATCACCTCATTGTTTGATTTGTTTCTCCTCTTTCGTAATCAGGTTCCCTTGAGCATCTTTTATTGGTTTCATCATCTGGGTTGATCTCTTCCCAAATAAGACCTGGCTATCTGACATAGTGTCTTGAGTTCTTTTTTGCCTGAGGCCTGTTCTGCTTCACTTGCCAGTGTCGTAGAATCTTCTTTTGTCCTTCCTAGCACTCTTCTTCACTTATTTCTACATTCAGTGCAGTGTACATTGAATTCAGCTTCCCCTTCTGTCGCCCATCTTTTCATTGTTTCATCTTCTCTTTCACTATCTTCCTGTCTTCTTTTACCTTCCAGGTATCCGTTGAGAGCCATTCCTTGTCTTATCTCTTCTCTTCCTAGGACAGTTGTACACGTTTCCTTGAATATTGCCTTCAGAGAGTTCCAATGTTTTTCCACGCAGGTTTCCTCAGTGATAACACGTAGTGTATCCGACTATGCTCTGATCGGATCTGTAGTGAATGTATCCCTTGTAGTTTTGTCCTTCAGTTTCTGAATGTTGAACTTGAATTGTGGCCTGTCTACATTTGTTTTCAGGGATTTCCGTTTCACCTTGGAAGTTCGTTGAACTAGATGACGGTCTGAGCCCACATCTGCTCCCCTTCTCGACTTTGTATCCAGCAGGCTGCGTCTCCAGTTCCTTGAGCAGTATTGGGATGAAATCGATCTGGTTTGTGGTGTGTCTGTCAGGCGAAATCCATGCTGCTTTGTGTATATCTTTGCGTTTGTACACGTTGTCTCCGATTACAAGATCATTGAAAGCTCAGAAGTCTGTGAATAATTCCCCCTTCTCATTCATTTCTCAGAGCGAGAGCCTCTCGACCCATGATGAGTTCTCTTTCTGTGGTGTTGTCGGCTCCCAGTTTGGCATTCATATCGCCCATGAGGATTTTGATGTCACCATTTGGGATGTTGTCCATTACTGTTTGTAGTTGTCTTTAAAAGTCTTCCTTCTCTCGTTCCGCGTTGTTTGTAGCACTGTATAATTGTGACCTTCCCTCCTTCCTTTCTAGTTGAATCTTGCTGTCATGATCCTGGATGAAATTGGTCCCCATTGCATTAGGGATCTGACTGCCATTGGTCACGTCATTATAGCCACTCCCTCAGTGTGTTCGTGGTTGTCGTCTGGGTGACCGGAGTAGATTATTGACTCCTTAGTTGACAATAATGTCGATCCATATCCATTCCATCTGCTCTCGCAGATGCCCAGCACTTCTATGCCACATCTTTGCATTTGTTTGGTTACCTGGGCAGCCTTCCCAGTCTCGTACATTGTACGAAAATTCCACGCCCCCATTCTTCTTCTTGCTTTCATTAAGAGAAGACGACTGGCTTTCACCAGCCCGCCTCTTCGATTCGAGCGAAGAATAAGATTGTTATTTGAAATTTTCGTATTTTTAATATATCTTATGTGTGGTGAAGTTTCTCTAGCGGTTTGATAGGTTTAGTAGTGTAGGGTTGCTAGCCCCACGCCCAACCCTCTCTTTACCCAGGCTTGGGACCGGCTAGAAAACTAGCAAGCTAGTTAACTAGGCCAGGTTATAGCATATATATATATATATATAGGTTATTTTGTATGTTCGTGTTCATTAAGTTTGTGAAATAAAAATACAATTGGTTATGGCTATTTTAACTAAAGGGGTGAGAATTAGTAAGTTTTGGGTGGAGTCCTCGCGAACTAGCTGAGGAGTCTCCTGACAACCTTATGGTGGATTTCACAGATTCACCTTGTTGGCCGAGTGAGGTTAAGTGAATGACCACACTCGAGTCTTGTATGCATGTCTCCGAAACACAACATACATCCATGGCTCTAGATGCTAGAGTTCTTGCTAGTGATGCTTGTTGTCCTATTTGACAGAGGGTCCTTTCGTTGAATGCTCCAATATGATGTTGGCGACGTGTCTTTAAGAGGCTATCGGGGGTGTTTCTATGCCTCTCATCGTTGTTTGTGGTCACAGAGTGAAGGGAAGACAACTCACTTGCTTGAATGATAGTACTAATTGTATTAGGGGAGTAAGATAATGATAGTGATGTGGGTAAAGGAGAATGATGCTCGTGGAGGCTTCGTGTGCTCTTGGAAGAGTGGGCGGTTGTTACTTCCCGGCTGCCCACACCGTAGAAGTTGATTGATTCTTCGGGTACCTGAAACAGAAAGAGGGTTAGTGTTGCGTATTCTCGTTTTCAACACCAATGTGAAGTCGATTCTTCTATACGGGTCAGAAACTTGGCTAGCGTGTCACGAAATGGATTTCCAACAGGTTGAAGGCTTTCATCAACATCTGCCTTTGCTGGCTGCATACTGAAGTATGAAGTGATGAAGACGAATGTAGGGGAATATGAATAACTTTTGTTGATTGGCGTTTCAATTTGAGGTTTTTATATTCTGTAAATTGCGCAATTCTGGTACCGAATGCCACTGGGTTCCACCGTTACCACCGTGTTATAATGTAATGTCGCATTGTGGAATGCACGGCATATCGTTAGATTTTCTAATTTTTATTATTCGTACCTTACCTTGTTGTTGTTGTTTGCTTGTTAGCAGTGATTAGTAAAGCGTATTGTCAGCCCTTTAGATTTATTCTCATTAGTCAATGCAAACTCACACCTCGTAAAAATACACCAGTAGTGTACACTTATCTTTGTAGGTAATCTCTCATGATTTATATGCTTTTATATGTCTGTCTTTTCCACAGCAAAAACCTGATGATGAGATTGATTATTCTTCAACAAAAACACAATACTATAATCTCTCATGTATTCTTATCCTACCACCGTATCAATGTCGTGGTTTCGGTCGTATGCTTATTGAAATGAGTAAGTTAGTTAGTAGTTAGTTTGTAGAATTAATAAATGCTTATTATTGTGTTGTCTGTTGTTGATGCGTTTATTTTTCTGAATATCTGTTATCACATTATCTATCTAAATGCATACATGAACACGGATTTCCTCTGCAGGTTTGTTTGACGGCTAATCCACAACTGATGGGCATCGTCAAAAATGCAAATTGGTAGTTTATATTTTTGGTTGATCTTTAGTCACATAGTACATTTCGTTGCCACTCAACAGCAGTTTAGAAAAAAAAACAACTGATTACGACGAAGCACTGCTCTCCGAATTCTGTCGATTTTGGGGTAGATCAACACCCATTTCTTGTGCTGTTGGTGAATAATGTGCTGCCTATATGAATGATGTTAGCTGGTATCAGCGATTTGCTACAGATCGACAAAGTACATGGGAACCATGTACTTTTGGATTCATACCCGTTAGTGTTTAATTCCCCCCCCTTTTCCTTTAAAGTGATAACTCTTGAGTGTGCGATGCTTCATGAAAAGGTAATTCTCAACTTCATAAAAGTTTTTTAACTAGGCGCAAGTAAATGTTAATCTCTTCACTGAATTGATGTTGTTTTGTATTGAAATCCACGTTATGGTTTTGCATATATATTTAATGCCTTAGTGTTTTAAACTTCAGTCATAGCATTGTCCCAATATTGCTAGGAGTCATATATCTCCATGTATGTGTAGTGCGGGGGACTTTAATGTTAACCCCATGTGAATTTCTAAACTTTTACTGTTTTCATGTAAGAAGTTTTGACTAACCGCTAGCCAAAAACATTAGTAGCCAATATCAAGTTGCTACTTCTTATTATTATTATCCATTCGTTGAGCTCCGAGTGGAATAAGTGTGCTTCAGAAGTACATCTCCATTGCATTCAGTCCTGTGCTATGCGAAGCCCCCTAGGTCCATTGTTTGAATCATAGTATTGGATTGGGTAGCTGCTTTTTGTCTAACCGCTATCCAAACAACCTTTCTGGCATGGTAGGACCTACAGGAACATAAGTTCCAGCCAGTGTAGCTCGTTGGGTCATTGCGATATGCCAGCCTGACCACCACGTCAAGGTAGCAGCTATCGGTAGGGATACTACCCCTAACTTGGGTCCAAAACGTCAAAAAATTGAAAATTTCAAAAACCATTCCAAGCGACATAACAAGGTCATATAAAAATCTCCTGGAAACTATGTTTCAGCCGTTTGTGATATTTCTACATCATATGGTGAAAGGCAAAATACGCATAATTTATTATATTCCTATGAATATGTTCTTATATGGCTCTATCGGGCTCAGCTTTCGCAATAAACCTCAGGTAGCAGAAGAAATTGTTGAGTATGAAATTCTACAAAAAATACTGATTGCATGATTCCTCTGTTTATTTATATAAGCTGACTAAAATTCCACCTCAAAAAAAAAAATAGTGTGACTAATTGGCTTTATTGAAACACGGTTAAATTCACCTATCTACAACTGAATGTGTATCACATATATTTATGTATATTTACCTCATAGGTTATACCTTAAGCCGACTAGAACAACGTATTGGCACCCCTGAACGTCCATTATCCGATCTAGGGATTATCATATACCGAAGATATTGGCGTTACGAGATACTGAAATACCTATCAAACTACACTGAACGTTCAATAAATATCCGAAGTAAGTGCTCCGTGATTTATCATTTTTCTACCCTTTTTCCGCAGTTCTTCTAACCTAACATTCTTGCATTCTTTGTTGTTTAAAAAAAAATCTGGTTCAAATAATGAGCCTGGAGAATTCATTAATTCAAAAAAGTTAAATGCTGCATTTATTAATGAATGCTTACTTTTCTTTTTGTTCCTTGAATTGTGAGTGAAATTTCAAGTTGTTTTTTTTTGAAGTTTCTGATGCACTAGTGGGCCAAGTTAAATTTTAAGTACTAGTAAGTACAAGTGAAGTCCTACTGACTGGCTGACTGACTGGTTTCAGCATAGAACTTTGTATAGATGTGCAGCAGTTCGAGTTGTCACACTCCTTCCATGTAGCACAAACAAAGCAAGAGAAGAGAGTAAAGAGAGATAATGAGCAGAGGTATGAGGGCAAAAAGAATAGTAATATAGAAGAACAATATAATTATATTTTCTATTGTAAATGACAAAGAGGGAATGCATCTGCTCCATCATCGAGAATGATGATTTTGAGCCAGCCATATCACTGATTGTCTCCAGCCTTCACTGCTTTTTTATCATCCCGAGGACCCCAACCAGCCTGGCAGTCTACACCTGCCTACGTGACTATCTGGTTTAAACTAACAGTTGTGGATTATTTATATAAAAGAGAAGAAGGCGTTCAGCGAAGAGACTCTTTTTGAGCGAATTCATTCACTGAGCTGTACAACTGCATATATATCCAGTTTTGTTTGTGTGTGTGTGTACATTAGATTTATAAAGTTTAGATAATTATGTAATATAAGTACTATTTGGCTTGGAGACAAACGTTAAGATAGAAAATAAAATAGAATTGAATAAGTGAATTGGATGACGTAATACAGTTGAGCGGAATTCAGAGTAGGTCAGGTTGGTAACAGTGTTAATGAGTGGTGGTTAAAATTAAATAAGGGTGGGGGTAGAGAATAATACAGTTGAAAATTGAGTAAGTTAATCGGATGACGTAACATAGTTGAATAGAAATTGATAGACAGAAGACAAGTTGTTCAGCGAAGAGTCTCTTTTTGGCGAATTCATTTTCATAGCTGTACAATCGAAAATATATATGGTTGTTTTGTGTGTGTGTGGGGGGGGGGTACATGAAATTTGTCAAACGAAAATACAATTAGTAAGTTCAGGTGAGTTGGATGTTGATATAAGAGAGTAGTAACAAAAGTGATGAGTTGTCACAAATGACTGTTAAAGAAGAGTTGCGTAATAACATGAATAGTTTAATGAAAGAGTTGTACTCAAGGTGCACATGGAAACAAAGTATACGGAATTACACAAGGGTTTTCAGTAGAAAAATAAGCATACAAAGAAAAGTTAAGTCAAATCAAACAAACAAAGAAAAAATAAGTCAAATCAACACTGTTGTTACCATGGGAGTAGAAGTGGTTGAATAATTTTCTTTTGTATACACAGTTCTGGCTCCTCTAGCCTAATGGCTAGGGCTTCTGCGATGCAAAGAAGATAGAATCGTACTGTCTTTGGAAGGTTGTTCTTCACTTTGTAGATTACTTTGAAGGAGGCGTTTGTTGAGATGGAATGACCAGTGTTGACGAGGTGTTCGATTATTGCACTCCTTATGCAGCCATTACTTCCTTTCTGTAGCCACGCTGGATAGTGTTCTTTGACCCTTTTTGACAGGATACGCGTTGAACGACCGATGTACCTGGCTCCACAGCAACAGGTGAACTGATATATGCACATAGAAGTGGTCAGGTGCGGGACCTTGTCTTTTGGGCTTCTGCAGATCAGCGGGCGACTAGAGAAGACTACTTTCAATGTTGCCGCAAAGAAAGAGGTGGAGATCCTCCTCCTCCTTCTAAGGACGTCACCGAGTTGGTCTCCCTTGAAGTCGAGGTTCATATATAGTATCTTTTTTGGCACAGATGCTGTTTCTTGCTTTTGGATTTTTGTTTGATGTTTTTGTCCACGAATCTTGATGGGTAACCGTTTTGTATGAAGGTTTCTTTGAGGAAGTTTAGTTCTTCTTCCATGGTATCAGAGCTGGAGATGCGTCGGACTCGAGTGGCAACAGATCTAATTAAGTTTCTTTTCCGACTGATTGGTACCCAGTTGTAGAAGCTTGTCAGTTGGCCGTTCCATGTGGATTTCCTATGGGTGGACCTTCTTAAAGTTCCGTCAGCTCTATTTGTAAGTTCAACATCAAGAAAAGGGGATTATGGATTCGTTTTCAATTTCAAGAGTGAACTTTGTGGTTGGATGGCATTTGTTGAATATTTACAGTAACTGATTGAGATCGTGGCCGTCATCACAGATAATGAAGATGTCGTCCACATATCTAACATACAGTTGGAAATTGTCAATAGTTGATTTGAGTGGGCCGTTCTCGAGGCTTGCCATGAAGCAGTCTGCTAGTAATGGGCCCAGTGGAGATCCCATTGCGATCCCATCTCGTTGTCTGTAAATAACCTCGTTGAGTGTGAATTGTACATTGAGTGTACATCTCAGCAGTAGTTCTTTTAGAAGTTGGACGTGGGTCAAGTTAGCAACATTGTTAATGAGGGTTGAGATTACAAAAGGGTGGGGTAGAGAATAATACAAATCAAGATGTGAAATAATAAAATGCAAAAGACAAAATAATACAATTAGTAAGACTGAAATTAAGAAAGATTGCGTTCATTGTAGATTTAATGAATAAACGAATTTCTTTTGTATACAGAGTTCAGGATTTAGCAGATGAATTGCCATTGCTTCTGTGATGTGGAGAAGTTTGATCCGTACACTTTTAGCAAGATTGCCTTGTATTCTGTAGATAACTTTGAAGTTTATTTCTGGTTTGATTTGGTGTCCAGAGTCGATCAAATGTTCAAGGATCGAACTGCGGGGGCATCGGTTTTCTCCTTTATAAAAGCATAAAGGTAAATGTTCGTTGACGCGTTTGGATAGCGAACGCTGAGTAAGCCCGATGTACCTGGCTCCACACGAGCAGGTGAATTGGTAGATGCACATAGTTGAGGCCAACAGCGGTAGCTTATCCTTCACGTTCATACGAATCATTGGTCTCGTGGAGAACGTCAGTCGTAATTCAGCTGCAAAGAAGGTTTTCTTCAATGAGCGAGAGAGCCGATTTCTCAGTATTTCTGTAGATTGGTCTCCATTGTGGATTTCATTGACTGATCAAGCCATGTTTTGGTTTGACCACCACTAGCACTAGCTGTATTCAAACTTCATCCATCCTATGTCAGCTAACATTGCCCATTGTCGAGGAAGGCGATGGCTAGGATTGCAGGTGTAACACATGCCCTAACCATCTCAGTTAAAGTAACTTCACAGCCTCGTCGATTGATTTCCCCTCCCACATACTTAGCACTCGAAGCCTAACCTCAATATTGCTCACCTTATTAAACCACTTAACACGGGAGATAGAACGCAAGCATCTATGATCAAAGGCAGCTAGCTAACCTTTTCGTATCTTCCACTTTCAATGGCCAATTCCCATAGCTATAAAGGAGGGCAGAGCGAACTGCCACTGAGCAGTTCACACTCCCTTTGGTCGACAGCCAGCCGGATATCACATCTACTAAGCCAGAGACGGCGTAAACTGGCATATGAGAAACGAGCCTTCTGTATCCGTGCTGAGATTTTGTCAGCGACCAACCCTTTGGTGTTGGCTGATGCAAATCCCCAAATAAGTGAAGTGGTCAACATGCTCTACCACTTCACTCCCTATTTCTAAGCTAGGAGTCGATGTAGTCCAGTCCTTACATCTTACATTTGAAAACAGGAGCAGATCGCATGCCAAACATTCTCAGATTACTGCTCAAGGTTTTCAGAAGAAATCTGCATTTTGTCAGCGTCTTCACCCAGGAGGGAGGACTATGTCATCTACGTTTTCTAAGTCAACGAGATCATCTCCTGGCAGTAACAAGTCAATCCCCGAGTCACTGAAGTGAGTTCATCAGTACATCTATGATGAAATTGAATAGAAATGGAGATAGTGGGCATCTGTCGGACCGACACCACTAGTTTTCGTCAGTTCAGGTGGCAGCTCGCCGTAAGCTCTCACCTCGCTGACTGCATGAGTTCGAGTAAAGTGCCTTGATCAGTGTAATGTATTTTCTCGATATTCCCTTCACAGCCAAGCATCGCCATAGTACTTCTCGGTCAACAGAATTGAACAGCGCTTTCAGGTCAAGTTGTTGTATGCTGATAAATATACCGATGTTCCAGAATCTGTCGAAGGGTGAAGATAAAATCAATATATCATCTTCCTGGTCTAAAGCCTGTTTGGTGTTTTCGAATTTGTTTCCCCCGAGCACCACCTAGTCTACGCATGATTTTTTTGCTTAGAACTTTAGATACCATATTAGTCAAGCTTGTCCCAATATGATCATCACAGGAAGACTTGTCTCGCTTCAAGTATATGGGGATAATCAATGACTCACACCTTCCCAGACGCTGCTTAATACCTTAGTTGACGCAGACAGTAAACTGTCTCCACCGTACTTAAATACTTCTGGAGTCATTCCATCAGGTCCTGCTGCTTTGCCTTGTTTCAGACTAGTGACTACCTTAGTAGCCCCAGTTAGGGAGGTGTTGCATGCTGGGTAAGTTGAGCGTGGTTGTAGGTCAATTAAATTGCTCCTCAGAATATCCCTCCTGCGTTCCAGTCGTCTAACCTGGGAGCTAATTGGGGTACTATTTTTCTAAGAGGTTGTTTCACTTATCATTTGCTTTTTGCCACCTGTTTTTCTGATAAATCTAAATAGGTTGTCTGGTGTTACCAATCACCAGCACCCTTTCCATCTCTTTCGCTTTTGTCGCCCACTACTGCTCATGGTCGTTACGAAGACTTCTTGTTAGTTTGCGTTTGAGTAGCTTTCGCTCCTCATCATAATCAGAGCTCGCCGGAATCATTTTTCTTGCATCAGTCAGTTCGAATGAAGCGGTAGAGATCCAATGGCTTTTACTAACTTTAGGTTTCAGGTTATTAACAGCTTTTACAGCTGTGTCTACAGCTAACTGTATGTTGTGCCAGGCTTCTTCAGGAGCAGTCCTGCTGTCGACCTCAGATACACGTTTCGCTATTTCTTGCGTAAATAGGGTTTCACTGTCTCCATCTAGGTCGGGACGTAAATGTTTCACTGCCAGCAATTTCTTATGTCCGTTTAATCGTAAGCATAAACCTGCGCGAACCAGGGCGTGATCGGAGTGTACACGCGTGTTCCAGAAGGAGCGACAGTCTTCTACTGACCCTCGCCAACGATACCCTGTCGCTCTGTGGTCTATCTGAGTCCAGTGTTGGTTTGGTGATGGAGGTCGCCAGGTTACACAGTGTCTCTCTTAGTGCCTAAAGTTAGTGCTGACTAGGAACAGATGATTATCTGAGCAAAACTGAAGAAGACGATCACCGTTGTCGGTTCGTCGTTAGGGAACTCCATACGTACCACCTACATACTTCTCAGTGTGGAACAACTTCCCTACTTGGACAATGAAGTCGCCTGCTAAAACAACTATATCTGAACGTTTTGCTCTTGGGAGAAAATTAGACAGTTTCTGGTAGAAGTCATCCCTTAGTTCATCCGAACTGTTGTCTGTTGGTGCTTATGTGGAGACTACGGGAAGACAACGACCAATAACGCCGTCCTTCCTTCTTCTAACGGACCCGTTCTGACGGATCGCACACATACGGCTATCTCCTGGTATCCAGTCAAGGAGTGATTTTTCTGCCCTAACACCCAATTCTATCCATACACCTGCGAGTCCTCGCGAACTAGCTGAAGATTCTCCTGACAACCTTATGGTGGATTTCACAGATTCACGTTGTTGGCTGAGTGAGGTTAAGTGAATGACCACACTCAGGTCTTGTATGCTTGTCTTCGGAACACAACATACATCTATGGCTCTAGATGCTAGAGTTCTGGCTAGTGATACTTGTTGTCTAATGTGGCAGAGAGTCCTGACGTTAAGTGCTCGAATATGATGTTGGCGGCGTGTCTTGAAGAGGCTATCGGGGGTGTTTCTATGGCCCTCGTGGTTGTTTGTGGTTACAAAATAAAATGAAGATGACTGAATCAGCCTGCAGAATAGTATTAACAGTAGGAGGAAGACAAGATGATGAGGGTGACAGGGATAAAAGAGAATGGTTGTCAGGAGGGCTTCGTGTGCTTTTGAAAATGTGTGGGCGGTTGTTTCTTTCCGGCTGCCCACACTGTGGAAGTTGATTGATTCTCCGGGTACCTGAAGCAGAAAGGGAATCGATGGTGCATGACAGCAGAGCCCAGGGGTCAACTACTTGAGGCAGGTTACACACGGTTTGTTTGAAGTGGTTTTTAGGTTTGGTGTCGTATCAGTAACTTACTGCCGGTTACGGACCAACGTAGGGTATGCCATATTTGGCGTAGACCTTTTCTAACCACCTCTCTCCAGAATGGAGAGGCAGCATAGCTGAAATTCTGGTCACCTGAGGGAAACACCTTACTGCTTTTACATCCCTTTCCTCCAGCGGTACATGTTTGCCCACAGACCCCTGGGCTTAGTGTAAAATGAATCTTACCTTATGCCGGTAACTTGCTTTAAGTCTAATCGCTATTCTAAGAATCTTCCTGGCATGCAATTTCTGTACGAACATTAGTTCCAGTCATTGTAGCTTGTTGGGTCACAGTGATATGCAAACCCGATCACCACGGTCGGATTAGTGAAACCTCGTAAACAATATTGTAATCATGGTGAGAAATATGCCTAATGAAGTGTTATGTTATTAAAATGGGATATCTGGAAAGTTTCAGCTTAGGTTTGGAAAAGATTACGTTTAAGTTTAGGCTAAGGACATGTTAGGGGGTTAGGTTAACCTAATGAGAGTGAAATTAGGTTTGTTTTAAGTTAGACGAGGGGTAGTTTAGGAATATTGTCACGCTAGGGTTAGGTTAAGGAAGGATTAGAGCTATTGTTAGGGTTAGAAGACCCAGATAGTGATTACATGCATAGAATGTGGTTAAATTACTCAGTTGACACTGCAATACGAAACTGACAGGTATTTTTGTCACACGTCAGAGGAAGGTATCCTGTGTAACAGTTTCATGCCCCCTTAATTCTTCATTGTTTTCATGGATATATTATGTGTTTTATACGCGAAAATCGTCTCTATGGTGTTGTTGGTGCGTTCAAGTTCATTTGTCCTTTGCTACTTGCTGGTGCTTAATGTTTAACTTTGCCTACTAGTATTTTCTCACAGGGTGGTGGCGTTTCTAGGCTCACTTCCAACTTTTCCCCTTCTTCAATTTTACTACCTGCTAGGTGACGTTTGGGAGTGCAGTTCTGTTTTTTCGGTTTAAATCAGTTAGTTTCAGTGGTCATCTCTACTTTGGTTTATTCGTTTATTTGCGTGAACTGAGGAAATCTACTCATCAAATAGGTTATCTTCCTCTAGTTACTGTATGAGGGAAGTTATCGGTAAGGTTTTGTGCTCATTTATGCGCCTAAGTAAGATGTATCTTTTCTTTCAATTATGGTGTGCAACACTCAGCAAATGAGATAGTCTTCTACTACCAGTACCCAGGTTTTATTTGATGGGATATATGTGGCTTCAATGATGCAAAGGACTGACTGATGATGATAACTGGCATCTTAGGTCGGTGATGATGAAGTTCTCATAGCATTATTAAAACCCACCTTCGTGAAATGTAAACTTCAAAACACAGGGATTGCTTATTAATCAACTGTCCGAAATGAGTAAACTTGGTAAAAATACTAAAACAGACTAACAGACATAACAAACATTGTCTAACAGAAGTGATGTGTTACAGTTTCCCGTAATCAGTACTTCCTTGACTTTACTCTCGGTAAGCACTCACACCTATTCGATTTTGCCGTTCCCTATATAGATTTTTCAATCACCTTTCTTTTCTCGTGTTCTCATAATTCTGTTTCTGTAGCACATTTCATGGTCTTTAAAGAAAAAAAAAACAAATAGTTTGAAATCTTGTCATTAGGTCAGTTATTGGAACTTCAAAGGATTCAGATTTTCCCATCACAACTCAGGTTATCCCTCATCAATGTGAATATGCAAACACATCTATCTAAATCAAGGTCATGTGATATTATCATTATTATTGTTCCCTTGGGTTCCTAGTGGAACATAGGGTTTCAGCTACACGTCTCCACTTCCTTCTGTCTTCTGCTATACTTTTAACCTGCATCCATGTTAGTCCATACTGTTTCAACTCCTCTTCACACGATCTCCTCCATGTCACCCTTGGACGTCTCACTCACCGCTTCCCTTTCGGGTTCCACTCGAGCGATGGCCTGACGCGCGATGTCACCCAGTGGCCTCCTCAGCTCAGCGGGTGTCCAATCCATCTCCACTTTCTCCTGCATATTTGTTGAGCGATTGGTTCTCGTTTTGTTTGTTCCAATAGTTTCTTGTCGGTACTTGTTCTTTCCGACCATCTGATCTTGAGTATAGAACGAAGACAGTTGTTGTTGATAAAGGTCTGCAACAGGCTGTTGGAAATATTCTTTGTGACCCACTGGCGAAGTTTCTGATCCATCCGTATAGAAGAACTGACTGACTTGACGTTTGTATTGAAAATCCGAATCATTTTGTTGTTGATGCAGGCTGAGTGACGAAGATTTCCAGATTGGTTTCAGGTTGATGAATGTGTTTCTCGCCTTCCCGATTCTCAATTTGACATCCTCGTCCGTTCCTCCTCCTGTAGTTGAGACAATGCTCCCTAGATAAGTGAAAGAAGTAACCTCTTTCAAATCCTACCCGTTGATGGGGATTGGCGCTGGATGTTGCTGCTGCTGTTGTTGTTGATGTTGGTTGGTTATTTTCATAACCTCCGTCTTGTCTATGTTCACCAGGAGTCCTGTCTTCTCTGGCTGCTTCTTCGACCAGTTTGTCGGTTTTCGCTTGTAAGTCTTCCATATTGTGTGACATCGAACATAAATCATCCACGCGCGAAATCCAGGTCTTCTAGGTTCTTCACGTCGGTCCAGGCTATCCCTGTCTTCTCGTTTTCCACTGTCTGACGCATAATCCAGTCCACCACAATTACGAATATCATCGTTGGTGATAATAAGCACCCTTGTCAGACTCCTGTGTTTACTGAAAACGCCTCGCTGAGTTTTCTGTTGTGGATCACTTGACATGATCTTGTGATGTGATGTAGTCCAATCAGCAGAAGACTTCAGTGTTCACCCATATCCCAATTAACACATATGACTTTTGTGATTATTTCTACATTTTTGATGTGATAGATTCGTAGTATGAAAATAAGAGTGTGCATCGGTGGCATAGCGGTTAGGATGCTCACCTACCACGCACATGGTCCGGGGTTCGATCCCCGGCCGATGCACTCCTTTACCTCGCTTAGCCAGAAATAATGTTGGTAAAGGGGAAAGGTTGGGTATGAGGCTAGCAACCCCATCCTGTAAAAATTAAACACTGCTACAGAAACTTCAAGCCACTAGCTTGAGGCCCTATGTTCCACTGGGAACGTGAATGAATACAAAAATGAAAATAAGTACACATCTGATGATGATGAATAAATATTTGTTTCATTAAATAAACTTTTATTTGTTTACATTTTTTTTGTCCAACAGTTTAAAAGGTGGTCCACTCCTCTTTTTTCCTTTGATGAATATAAGATATTTGCTTACAATTTTTTTCTCTTTTTACTACAGCAATGAGTCAAGAATTAACCATTGCCATCCGCGATATCGTGAGCACTTTACTGGATATGAAAATGCTTATATGCTATCGAACAAAGTATTATATAATTAATAATAAGGTATCTAAGGGTTTTACTTTACCTGAAGCCTTGATTTGTTGTTTTCTTTTAACGTATTAACTATTCAACCATGTTATAATAATAATAATAGTAACTGAAAATGCCATAATACAACAACAGGCTTCCCGTGGAAGTATGTCAGTGTGCCAGTTAATAATGGACAAAATGCATCGTGACATGAAAAACAAAAAGGTTTGAGCAAAAAATATCCTTTTTGATATATAGTAACAAAATAAAAACCGTTATAGATAGAGTACTTAACACTGTTTTCTTTTCCTTCTCTCAGGAAAACATCCAGGAGTCTATCCCATGGAGCAAGAGGCTTAGCATCTATCCGGACTCCATTTTGTAACATAATGAGTGACAGTCGCACGAGGAGCGTGTATTTAACACAATGGCAAATATCAGAGAGCGCACGCGTCAAGCCCTCACAAACAAAAATAGCCTATTTGTCATCATTGATATTGAGTCCTGATAGATGTTGTGCCTCTTGCTCCAAGGAATAGACTCCTGGATGTTTTCCTGAAAGGGAGAAAAGGAAACAATGTTGAGTACTCTATCTACTTCGTTACAATATATATATATATATATATATATATATATATATATATATATACATATATATATATATATATAGTAAAAATTTCACTATCGAGAAAGGAAGAGAGACTCTAGTATTTCATTCCTAGAGGACATCCTAACAATTAGAAGAAAGGACGGTACATTAAGAAAAAGTGTATATAGAAAACCTGCATCAACTGGTCAGTATACTTATTTTTTTTTCAGTTTTGTGTCTTTCTAATACAGACACACTCTAATAAAGTGCTTGGTCTACAGAGCAATAGCAATCTGCCTAATTTCGCCTCTTCTATGTGTTAATGAGAACAAAACACGTTGATCAGCGAAGAGTCTCTTTTCGGCGAATTCATTTTCTTAGCTGTACAATCGCAAATATATATGTGTTATTTTGTATGTATGTGTACATTAAGTTTATGAAACAAAAATACAATTGGTTATAGTTATTTAAACTAAACAGGTGAAGATTGGAAATTGGAGTTACGTAATACAAAATCAGTCAAGAAAATTAGGTGTTAGTGATGAGTCGTCACAAATAGTTGTTAAAAGAAGTTATGTAATAATATGAATAGTTTGATCAGTGAGTTTTACTCAGGATGCACATAGGAACAAAGTAGAGAATACGAAATTACGTAAGAGTTCTAAATGAATACAAGAATTACAAGCAATTAAACAACAGGCAAAGAAACAAAATTTGTTACTACCCTAATTTCACTAACACCTAATTTTCTTGACTGATTTTGTATTACGTAACTCCAATTTCCAATCTTCACCTGTTTAGTTTAAATAACTATAACCAATTGTATTTTTGTTTGATAAACTTAATGTACACATGCATACAAAATAACACATATATATATTTGCGATTGTACAGCTAAGAAAATGAATTCGCCGAAAAGAGACTCTTCGCTGATCTTCTATGTGTATCTACCACTTTGACTGCTCTTGTGCATCCATTTACATAGGCTGTATAATTAGGCGTGTTTCTCGTCGGATTTCCAAACAACACCCTGCGCGCTTAAGTAAAGGACAAACAAAATCCATTTAGCTCATTTTTGTGGATACAGACCACAAGATTGATATTAACGAGGCTTTGAAAGTCATTTACCACATACCAACTAATCTTAGATTCACCTTAAGAGTTTGTCTACTACATATTGCTGGGGCCGTTGGGATCTGCATTAAGAAACCTAACTTCTGTATCTAAAAGAAGCTGGTTCAGACACTGTTCTTACCTTGGACATCAAGGTTTTAATGATCCTAAATTTGTTGTGGAAATTTCCTTAATTTTATTTGATATTCTATCTACTATTACATTTGTATGCTTAGTATAACTTATACATCTTTCTTGAACTGTGGTAATTCCATTGTGATCTTACTTGACAAATCGATAGTATTCAAAAACACCAATATTGTTAATGACGACTGTTCTAGAATATTCTATTTATATGAACATATAAATAATTTCGTTAATTGGTTAGAAACTAACGTAAGATTAAATAAGGAGGTCGAGTGACAATCTAATTGATGGAGTTGAATAGAACTAAACTAAAATTAAAAGTGAACAAAAGTCAAGGTAACGACGACAGCGGAAATAAGAGGTGGGGGAAGAAAATATTATAAAATTAAAAAATACAAAGAAGCAAGAAAAAGACAAAACAAAATTACGTATTTGCTGTTAAGAAAGGGTCAGCTCCACTGTAGATTTAATGACTGAACAAACTTCCTCTTATGTATGCAGAGTTCAGTTTTTAATATGTGAATTGCCATTGCTTCCGCGGTTTGAATAAGTTTGATTGTAGTCTTTTAGCAAGACTCTCACGTAATCTGTAGAGATGACTTTGAAGTTACTTTATGGGTTTGCCTGGTGCTCCGATTTGATCAGGTGTTCCAGAAAAGGCCTCGAGGGGACCTTTTTTTTCTCCCTGTTTGAAACCATGAGGTTAACTGTTCGATGATACGTATGGATAGCAAACGCTGGGTACGGCCGACATACCTAGCTCCACAGGTGGAGCAGGTGAATTGGTAGATCCATATTGACGAGGCTGTTGTTAACTTGACTTTCGTTTAATTTTAATTGTAGCTGAGTTCTACTCAACCCCGTCAATTATATATATATATATGTAATTGTAGAGGCAGAAGAGGAAATTATCGAAAAGGATATTTTTTCGCTCAAATTGTTTTTCCCCCTCTAAAATACATCTCCTTGCTGAAGCTATTTCTGGAGATTCTAAAGTTACACTGGACTTTATATGCGATTTGAAAGTTCAGATGTTAAATTTCCTCTTTAGATTATATGTCTGTAGGTTGTTTACCTTAACCTTTCAAAAATTTTTATCCTCCCCTAAATACCACATCTTTGACAAGTAAAAACTGTCTCAAATTGTTAACAGGGATTTCTCATACAATAGACTATGTAATGATGTCGTGGTATATAACCGTATTTAATGTATTACTTCGTGTTAACATGCCTGTTATGCGAAGCACGATTTCTTCTCGTTGCTCCTCTTATGATTATTATAAAATCTTCATATTGTAACAAGCGCTGCCAATTCTTGGAGTAATTTGACAAAGAAATGATTATATAATTCAAGTATCGGTGTGTAGGGATTTGGTTGATTGGTTACAGGATTTCATCATGAGCTGACATCGGTTAGAGAACCATTGAAAAACCTGAGAGTACTGGACAGCTGTTTCGTCTTATTTCGAGACCCCTCAGCAGTACGCACATGCCGGGGTTCAAACACAGGACCTTCTGGTTACAAGTTGATCTCGTAGACCATTAGGCCACTGGGACCCGATCCAATGGCCAGGCCATGAATTCTAACTTCTGCCAATTCATGACAAAGCGCGACCACTAGCCAATGTCTTCGGCGAGTATTTGTCCGCACACTCGACCTGCTGCACCCTACTGGTCACGAATTCCCACTGGAACCCCAGGTAACTACCTACCTGAATAGGGCCAGTCGCTAGTGAACATCTCATTGATATTCAAGTATTGATTTGTAGGGATTCGGTTGATTGGTCACAGGATTTCATCATGAGCTGACATTGGTTAGAGAACCATTGTTTGAAGCAGACAAGCTCTTTGCTTCACTATTAATCTTACTGTGACTAGATATTTTATTAACTCTTTGTTCTCATCAGCATCGTTAGAGAAAATGAGGAAATGACCTCAATGAATACATTTCACATTAATTTATGCGTTATTTATCCTGTTAGTGTGTATGACTCGTTATTTTGTTAGTCAACAAAGAGAGAGAAATTCAACGATAAGATTGACTTTATCCTAATTTCTTTCTTATTTTTGATATGCAGAATGACGTGGAAACACTATTGAGCCAAATGAAGCCACCTTCAATGGATCGTCGGATAGACCCTGCCTGCCTCCATTGGACTCCAGTACACCAGGGTAAATCTCCTAGTACAACTAGTGGGACTAGTCAAAAAAACTTCACAAACATGGTTTAACTACACCGTTGAATTCATTTTTTTTGTTTTTTTTTGTTTGTTATTTTGGAATGTGTGAAACATTATAAGTCAGTCGTTTCAAAGCCCTTTTGTACATATCCTGAAATGTGTTAGACTTCTGTTGTTTCGTTCAATTTTTTTTTTGTAAAAATTTTGACGAAAAATTTGTTATTCTTGACAAATGATTCAATGACAAATGTAAACATATATGTACATGCACAATCTGTGTTGTTCGATAATTTTACAGACACATTCTGTGACATAAGGCAGTGGAACGATGGAAAATAGTTTCATGTATTCAGTAATTGGTGAAAGTGTATTAGGAGTCAAGTGGTAGAAATGTGCCGTGTTCTATAGTGTAGTTGTTCTTCTCAGGCTCACAGTATGATTGCATGAGTTGGTGTATTGCTTACGTACCATCAGTGAAATTCAGGGATTATTTAGACATTTCGAGTGGTAATATGGGGATGTTAGAGTGTACTTCCTATCTTCGAGATGCAAGTGATTGCTTATGGACCGACCAGTCGACATGATGACACGACATTATGATAAGGAGTGGAGTAGTTAAGCAGGTTGATGTGTTTCTTCACTGTTATGGGGAGTTAGGTTATCTGCTGTTAGGTGATACATACTGAAATCAGGGCATGAGTACAAAGGACTCGTTTGACTTTTCCAACTTGTAGTACTTGTGGAGTCGTTGAGATAGGTGATATCGTCCACGAAGAGTGAGTGGAATGTACTGTTCACCAGTGTGTTGTGTTTTACTGTATGGCTGCAAACAGGGGTTCGGATGTATGATCGTCGATAAGAGTAACGGAATAACAGACAAGCTGAACATCAAAGTATGATAAAGTAATTTATTAATCGCGAAATTTAAGAGTGCTAGTGAGTGAATGGGATGAGAAATATGACTGATGTTCAAGCTGTAGGTTGGTGATCTACGCTTATTCACGTGCCATCCTTTCGTCTGAGTGTGAGTGAAATACCTCGGAGCGGAGTAGAGGCTTGGTGATTAAACTCAGCTTATTTCCTGGCCATGTGATTGCAGTAAGATCTGAGTGTGTCAAATAAACACTGAGATCAAGTGAAATTCGAGGTGAACAGAAGGTATGCGGAATCAATTGTTGTTTATAAGTGAGTTGCTGCGACGAGATCTCCCATTGGTGCAGACTGAGAGCCAAACTTAAAATATGAGAGTTGATGATACTCCGCAGTTGCCGCGGCTCGTGTAGTGGTGTAGGGGTCCGATTCGAAAGCGGGACTGATTGTTCGGGAGCCGAGTGGTGAGGCCAATGCAGAATGAAGAGCTCCAAGGAATTCAAACTTATATTCAAATTCATCCGTGCAGTATGATTACTCGACTGTAAGAGATTGCACACCTATGCATCCTTAGTTCGAGTACAATCCTTCACTACTGAGGTATGAGGAAAGTTTAACTGATTTCTAATTCAGCATGGCGAAAGTCCTAATTTGACGAAATACATCGCGACATAGACTGCAGAGCTTTCTAGTTTGTATTTGGATATCCAGAGGTGGTTTTCTTACAAAAGCAAGACAAAAAAGCCCAACACACAACAAGCATACTACATCACACCGGCACGCTCTCCCTGGCGTGTGGGATCTTCCTCAGTGATCTGAACATTCCTTCGCTCTTTGTCGACAGTAACACCACTGATCTGGTCCACGGAGTGTTAGCTGCTTCATGTCACTCTGGCACAATCCCCTTCCTGGCGTATCGAATCGCATACACTGACTCTAACACTACTCGATTCGTTCACAAGTTTAGAAGACTAGAAACGACTTCAGAAGCACTAACAATAACATTAAAAGATGACTCACACAATGCGACAACTATAAATAAACCAACAATGAGATGAATCGGAACCCACTCAGTTACTTAATGCAAAAATATGTACAATCAATACATCAAATGTTGTGGATTCTGCCTTGACGAGCCACCCTTGAAGAACTGTAGGACTTACAGCAGTATGCCTACATTCCTTCTCAGATTGACGATCCAAGTGGAAGACGTCCGGACACAAACAAAATTAACCAACAGATAAATGAGAGATGAAACCAATTCAGTATATACAACATGAACATATGTACAAAATAACACACCAAGTACGGTGGACTGCGCCTCTACGTACTCCCCCTTGAAGAATTTTAGGACTTACAGCAGTACGCCTACAACCCTTCTCATGTTGACGCCCTAGATTGGAAAATCGCCGCAGAGTTTATTTGCTGACCTCCTTCTATCATCTATAGCCTCAACCCTGAATGGTGACACGCCCATGACATTGTATCTTGGAATGTAGATGACTAACATACATACGACGTATCTGATCAATCAAGCGAAGGCACAGAGAAATTTATAACAAAGATAATAACATTCAAATAGTATGTGGTGAGAGATGGCTGCTAGCCAAACTGGTAGACAGTAATTGACGTCAATGCTTATGTCTCAAATACTAGCCATGCGAAAACAAGATCAAAGACGGACAGCAGGTTTTGCGTAGGCGGATACAATTAGCAGATAGATGATTTGACACTCAAGAGACAGCCACAAAGAGGTGAAAGATTAACTTTTAGTGAGAAACAACCAATCATAAAACTGTGTTTGTCAGCTAACGATAATCTATAATAATGTACACGAAAATCTATAAATATGCATTGATTTCCTTAATAAACGATCTGTCGCCTGACTCTTGCCTTCTGTCGTTACAATTGGTGTCGCTGCCTCCGAACAATGAAGATCCCATGGCCAACTGCGTTTGAAGAAGGAGACATACGGAGCTTCTCACGTGACTTCGAGGCCGTTGCTGAATTGGTGGGTGTCAAAGAGCAGGCAGCGAAGGCGGTTGTGCTGGGGACGCTGTTGAGAGGCTGAGCGAAGGTGACATATACAGCGTAGAGAGGTCAGATGGCACAGCGTCTTGGAAGACATTGGTTGAACGATTGGTGTCGGAGTTCGACAGTCCAACAGACAGACAGCTAGCAATGCAGCAGTTCCGTTCAACGAAGCTGGGACCTGACGGAGATCTGTTAGTGTTGGCGGTGAAATTGACGAATCTGCCTCGACGTGTGCTTCCCACTTTGGAAGAAGAAACAGAGGCGCAGTTGCTGAGTTCCAAGTTCATCAAGAGTGTCCCAGACCACATTTCTCAGCGAATACAACTCGTTAACTCTATGCAGCCGACGGATATTAGTGAGCTGGTGAAGGTGACCAGACAGCTGCCGAGCACAACTGTAGCCACTATAGAGCAACCAAAACCAAACGAATACGAGCAGAAAATTGAAGCGTTGCAGCGGGAAGTGGACCGATGTTTTGAATGCGGTCAGCCGGTACACTGGAGGAGATACTGCCCTGAAAGGCGAAAAAGAAAACGTTTCAGACGGTATAATACGTGTTCTTTCTCTGGTGTAAAACTAAATGTAGTGGGGGTTATTGAGAAAGGGGCTGTGTATTCGAAGTTGCGAGTGAATGATCAAGAAGTAGTATGTTTAGTAGATACGGGGGCGGCTGTGTCCCTAATAGATAAGAACCTATGTAAGTGCTAGTCCATGTTCATTGACAGTACAAACGGTAGGTGGGCACGTGTTACGTATCACGGGTGGATCGAACTGTACGGTCGTGGTCGGCAGCCGCGAGGCGACGTTCCCCTTCATTGTTGTGTCCGACGGACAATACTTGGGGCGGATTTTCTGCGGAAGATTGGTGCGATAATCTACACGCAAGCGAACGTTGTAATCACAAATTACGGACATATCAGCATGTATGAGACCAAGGAGGTAGCAGCGGTTAAGCTGTCAAAGGTACAAAATATGACAGAGTTAATTAATAAATACGATGATATTATTAAAGAAACTGCTAGCCCGTACAACTCTCCAGTGCTTTTAGTAAAAGAAGTGAATGGGAGGTAAAGATTCTGCGTCTATTTTCGACAGTTAAACGGTATGACAGAGTTAAGACCGTGTGCCATGCCAACAGTAGTGGAAACTTTAGATCGCGCAAATTTGTTTTCGGTTCTCGATCTTCGCTCAGGTTACCGGCAGATACCGATAAAACCAGGTGATAGAGATAAGACGGCATTCATCGTGGGTCAGACACAATATCGATTTAAACGCATGCCGTTTGGACTAGCAGGTGCACCGTTCACGTTCAGACGACTGATGACGCTATTACTTAAGAACTTGAAAAACGTGGAGGTCTACGGAGATGATCTCGTCATATATAGTCAAAACGAAAACGATCATGTGAACCATGCAGAAGCCGTGCTACGATGCATCGAAGAGCTTAGGCTGCGCGTCAACAAAACCAAGTCTCAGATAGCCAAAAGGAATGTTGCTCTTTAGGGACATAAAGTGGGAAATCGTGAGATTAAGCCACTACCAGAGAAAATACTGACGATAAAGACGATCCCGGCCTCGAATCCAAAGAGAAAATTCATACAATTCTTGGGTAGAGCAGCGTTTTATAGTCGCTTCGTGAAGAACTTCAATGAGATAGCGGCCCCTCTGTACAGGCTACTAGGTGAGCCGAAGTTTGTTTGGTCGGAGGAATCGCAGAAGACATTCAACAGGATTAAACAGCTGCTCGACCACCAAGAAATGACACTAAAACTACCCGTACTTGGAAGACAGTTCACAGAGTGCATAGATATATATATTTATTTCCTGTTTATGCAGGAACATACCAATTGTACAGGCATGGATAAGTTATTATATAAATTACACATATTTCGATGTATCGTGAATTTACAGTTTGTTCTTTAGGACATTAGAGTCAGTCGGAACAGTCTGCTAAATAGTCGGTCCGTGTAACACATAAAGAGATATAGAAATATTGTCTTCGCATTAACAAAAACCCAGACATCAGATGAATTTAATACAAATATCTGGGAAAAATGAAGCTTGAAGTCAATTCTCCTATATAACTTTGTTGTGAACAGTATCCTTGACTTGAAGTTTATTGATGTATTTTTTTGAGGTCAGTGACGTATTTATTCCATTTTTTTCAGCGGTCTAGTCGTAGTTTTATAATAGGAAAGAAATTTGATCATGGATACGAAAACTAGATAAGGTCATGTTAGATTGTTTTACTGTATGGATTTGGGCCGAGGTCGACTCCAGGAAAAGCGATATAGGCAGATTTTGATTGGCTGTTGGCTAGCTGGCTTCTTATTGGTCTAAAATAGAAGTTAAAATGGCA